GCCTTTGAGACGTCCCGCGAACATTACCGCGGCGAAAAGCGAGATTAATATGCCAGTGTCGTTGATATCCCGAAATTGTATCGTCGTCATTTGCACGCGCGCTCAACTTTCGCTGGCGCGCGCGCGCGCGCACATGAGCGGTCTATCCCGTCGAAGAACTGCGTCACGAGCGAAGGATGCCTTCTAAAATTGTGAAATTGAATCGACGAGACATCTACGATGTATATCGCGCAGACACGCGGCGTGTTCGATCAAACGATCTGCCAGCGCCCCGATCGAATATCTCTCTCGGGCGAAGGAGAGATTTTCAAGTTCTTCAATCTCTCCTCTCCGATGTTTGTCTCGACGCGCGGTTGTCGCGCTGCGCTTTGCTCTTCAATGTCGCTTCAATTCACCCTCGCGTCGTCGCGTTATTCGCCGCGCAACTTGATTTCGGTAATACGAAAGTTGCCCAGTTAACCTAAGAGTTAAACTCAAAGCGGAGGCTGTCCGGCTCGAACTCTCGGTTCCGTGTTATTCTGGAATTTCGCGCTGATTTGTCGGCAACTTCGTTGCTGCAACATATTATATGCGAACGAACACACGAGCGTGTAACTTCTCGCGTGGGAGTAATTTAACTTTCCAATTACGCGTGCGTGCGGCGGCCTTGAGTTTGTTCAGCGAATCGAACTTATTTCATTCAGCATGGAATTATACGGCCGTAGTACAGTTTTACGCGATCATGAATATTTCACTTACCCGGCTTGTAATCCGCCGTTAGGTCGTTCAAACTTTTGCGCGCAACGTTACAACTTCTCCACCAGGATCGAAAAGGATTTTTTCTTCGAAAACTAATAACTAAAACTAACGAAAAAAGAAAAAAAAATCCGCACAGCCGTTCCGCAGTGACCACCACACTTTGAGATTTTGAGCGATCGATCGATACGAATTTCGAAAGCGTGTCACTTATATGGGCGAGCTACTCCTCGTATGGAAGCAATTCAACTTTCTTGCTCTTTCGTACCTTGATCCTCCCGGCGATATCAACGGCATATTCGAGAATTTTCTTCTCTGATGCGACGTAGCGTCATCGGGAGTCATCAGTATTATATTTAATAATTCGAAATTATATATATATATATATGTGTATGTATGTGTGTGTGTGTGTGTGTGTGTACATTCGAAGTAAAAACAATTTTTCAACGATTCGTACAAACACGACTAGTGTTTCGACGGTGAAATTATGAGACATTGTGAGAGTATCGCGCGCGTTGAGTAGCATTTTTCCGATTAGTCCATCCCCATTTATATCGCATGTCGCGAAAAAAGCGCGTTGCGTGAAGTTGCACTCGTGCTATTGTCAATATCGATTTCGCCGGTATCTTCATCGAGATTCGGCACGAGTAATTTACACAGATAGGTGGGAATTATTCATGAGTCAATTTAGTATGCCTCGGTAATCAAATGCCGCGACGCTTTCATAGCGAAACCGCGAATTCGCAGCGCTCTAACGCTTTCTAACCATCGCGACGTGAGACGCGAACCGGTGAATTCGCGCGCCGCCGCTCTAATGAGTCAACGAATTGGCACAACCCGCTTCGCCGACACCACATTTTTCCGATAGCTTGTTTGCCCAAGTTACACGCGGACGATATCTCGTTGTCCTCCCACGCAACCCACCTCCTCCCTCTCTCTCTCTCTCTCTCTGTCTCTCTCGCTCGCTCTCGGCACAGCCGCGAAAAGCATCCGATTGGAACGCAGCGAGTGTGTTCGATCCTTCGTTACGTATGACGCGCTGATGAAATTTGCGGATGCGCGCATTACGAAGTCGCAGAGTTGCGCTGATGAACGACGCGCAGCTCGTCATGCCGTCAAATTACAGAGCGGTTGCAGCGCCGGTCCGAATGTTGTCCGAGGTAACGAGTTGACTTCCACGATGCCATATTAATTATCACACTGCCGGCGCAGTGGCGGCGAGACAATGCGTACCGCTTAACGAGCGAAGAATCGGTTGTATTACCTGACCGCGATTTACTCTCCCTTCACTCTACCTACCTACATCGCGACCCTCGGCTTAACGAGGAAGTTTATCCGGGTGCGAGTCGACGTCCGATTTACCGGCGTCGTTTCTTTTTCACGATCACGCGCAAGCAGAAGGCACGTGATTTCTGTCGACTCGCACGCGAGTCTTTTCTCCCTTCGAACATCGCGCCAAGTTACTCGCGTTGCTTACTCATGCTGATGTTGTGAGATAAACGGCGTCATAAATAGCGGCTCTCATGAAAATCAACGCGGCTATTTAAGCGTTAAATGAATGCCAAGCCACCGTGATTCGGGCGCAAAGTTTGCCATAACACGGCGACGCCGCTGGATATTAAAGTGAACTGTTGTCACACTACAACGTAGTCGCGATTCTCCGCGCTAACTTTATACACAAATTCAGTCGCTTCGCGTTAGTTACCGGACGAACTAGCGCGTCGCACGCGCGCTAACCTTTCAGCAAAGCCATAAAAACTTACGCGGCAATTGGACGTGAAGGATGAATGTTTGTGCGCTGCGCTGTGGATTATGATAAGTAGTGAATACGAAGCCACTTGTGCGCGCGTCATCCTCGTAGGGGAATCCACAGAAGTGCGAATTCTTAGGCTTCAATGTGTCATGATGATATGCTTTCCATGCTATTTAATTCAAAGTAAGAAGCACATATTTCCTTAAAACCCGCAATCAATCGCAGATTTAGAGAATGAGATAACCCTTTGTGGAAAAATTTGAAAAAATTTTACATTTTTTATTAACAACCCGGAAATTCAGAAAATTCTGAGACATTGTGTGTGCAAGTAGAGCAAGAGTTTGCGAAATAATTATACATGCACGCATTACGTAAAGCGAAAAGTTCAACAAGGTTATCGGCGCAGATATGATTCTGCGTCATTTAACGACGCTGATTTCATCAATATTTCCAACGTTGAGAAGCGAAAGGTCTTAAATAAAAGTCTTATAATTTAAACTCTTCGCAACAACCATTTGTATGCCACACTTTTTTAAATGTTTCTCCCCGCTTAATATCGATTTTAAAATAAAACGAAAATACGGTTGTCTGAAAAATATTCGAGTGCACATATAAAAGCCGATTTTTCCGAAAGTTTGCTCCCTGATCACGCGCGATCGAGCGTTTCTACAAAAGATACACGTCTTTTCAAACATCTCGACTGTGTAGACTGCATGTACATACTAAAAGATTATCATAATCGATGATAGACACTATTGTGGGTTTCCTTGTTAGACTCCTGTACATGCTCTTAGGATGCATGTTATGTAAACGTTACGTAGAACAGTTAGTAACCTAGTATTACGTGTGTCTTGCAAATTAACGTTTCCCACTGGCAGGCCGATAACTAGCACGAGAACACGAACGCGATATCGATAGAGGAAGAGAGAGAGAGAGAGAGAGAGAGAGAGAGAGAGAGAGAGAGAGAGAGAGGCAGAGGAAAGAGACAGAGACGAAGCTCGGCCGTCATGCGAAGTCTCGACTTTCAGACTTTCGGACTCGCGGATAAAATAACGTCCGAGATGTTCACGATCGCGCGGAGGGACATCGTCATCGTCATCTGTACCGTCACCTTCGTCGTTACGCGAGCCTCTCCCACGAAATTCCGTTCCTTTAAACATATGCATGACTCTCGACCGATTCAGGCCTGTTAACATATAAATTGCCGCTTAACGGCGAGACAATCAGTTTCGTGGGAACTCTCAGGAAGAGGGTGACGACGGAGACGAAGACGGACGACGCTGAGAGGGAGAGTAAACGAGCTAGTAACGGCGAGAGACAAAGAGGGGTAGAGCGAGGGTGGCGTAGACGAAGAAAGCAAACGACGAGAAGGGATGATGGGAGATGGAGCAACCTCCGAAAGTAACGGCGCAAAATCGAGCGCGGAAACGGCAGAAGAGACAGAGCGCGCCTCTGAAGCGAGTCGTCTCTCTTGTGGGGGAAACTGTCGAAGAGACAGAAACGGAGGTAGCTAGGTAGGTAGGTAGGTAGGTAGATAGCTAGGTAGGTAGGTAGGTAGGTAGGTAGGTAGCTAGGTAGGTAGGTAGGTAGCTAGGTAGGTAGGTAGGCAGGTAGGTGGGTAGGAGAGTGGGTGGGTAGGTAAGCAGGTAGGAGGGTGGGTGGGTAGGTAGGTGGCATTCAATTCAATTTCCTAAGAAACTCTTTAGTGTTTGAGATACAGCCGCCGAAAGGATGCGCGTGAGGTTAGATATGTGGCGGAGACGGTGGGAGCGATCGTACCGAGGAGGGATGGAAGACGGATAAACGGGGCGACCAAAGAGGCGAAGGAGAGAGAGAACGAGAGAGAGAGAGAGAGAGAGAGAGATAGGAAGAGACAGGGTAGGTGGGAAGGGTAGAGAGAAATCCGGAGGATGGATGGAAGCGCGATCGTGGCTGCGCGCGAAGGGGAGAAAGAAGAGACGCGACACGCCGCGGGAAGGACGAGGGCGAGCGATGGAAAAACCGTAATAGGGAGTGAGTCAGAAGACAACTACAACGATAGGGAGTGGGTGTGTGAGGAGGGCTGCGAGAGAGAGAGAGAGAGAGAGAGAGAGAGAGAGAGAGAGAGAGAGAGAGACGGGAGGGAGGAGGGCAACTGCATAAAAGAGAAAGAAGTTCTCGTGTGAGTGCGAGGCGGGAATAAGAGGGTAAGAGAGGGGCGGGGGAGTAGTTGGTAGGCGGGAGGGAGGGTGGGTTTGATACCGCCGAAAGAGAAGGAAGACGGTGGAGACAGGACGAGGGAGCAGGGAGGGCTACAGGATACGAGCGAGAACACGGATGGAAGAATCGTGGGATAAACGGAGACGGAGTTACGCGAAGAGAGAGAGAGAGAGAGAGGGGGGGAGGAGAGGAGGGGGAGAGAGAGTGAGAGAGAGAGAGAGAGACTGACTAACTGACTGGTGGCTGGTCAGGGGGCGAAGGGGAATAAGGATTCTGTGCGCGGGCGCGAAGCTGGCGCAAACTCTTCGTGCAGCATCCCTCGTCAGTTGCAAGTCAGGAACTATCGCGGCCGCGTGGCGCCGCGTTCGTGTCGTACGGTCCGCCAGTCTTGCCGATTTTAAGCGCGACGATCGGCCGATCGACGCGGAAAGCGCACAGATCGGACGGAAACGTGGTGGTGATCGGTGCCCGAGGCTTTGTGACAGGATTTCGCGCGAGTTTCTCACGAGAGTTTCTTCACCGATTGTGTGATTTCACAGCCGATGTCAATCCGCGGTGCGGCGCGCGTTTCGTCTCGCGCTAGTAGCCGGAGTTTGGATGAGTAGCCGCGGAAACGGAAGCGCCGCGGTACCGGTAACCCGACGACGCGGGATTCATGTAGGGGAAGAAACGTGACTACTATCGCGCGCGCGGTATACACGCAGTGAGATCTCCCGCGACGAAAAATGGATAAAGACTTCCGCCGGGAGTACGAGAAAATGCGATGTGCTCTGCTTCACCTGCTGCTCATAGTGGGGGGTAAGTTTCGTATACGCAGTGCCCTGAAAGTTCTCAAGCGGGGGGTTGTTGCTCTGACTCTCCGAGTGAATCGGCCTGCGGATGTGTTTGCCGATCTCTCCCGATTTTCGACGGAGGAACGATAGTTCGTGGTGAATCTTGCCGCCGCTGTTTCATCGCTCTTGCGAAAGTAGAGGGTGGGCGTGGGGGGAATGTGTCTCTCTACTCATTGATAATTTTGGACGATGGGTCCTTTGAACAATGCTTTACGTGTGGAAGAGAAGCTGAAGAGAGAGAGAGAGAGAGAGAGAGAGAGAGAGAGAGAGAGAGAGAGAGAGAGAGAGAGAGAGAGAGAGAGAGAGAGAGAGAAAGTGGTAGAGAGAGATTCTTGTTGAAACTCAACGCGGCTCTGTCAGCCGCAATTTAGATCACCGAGTAACGTCGGGGCGGAGTAGAGGGGAGGGTGGGATAATGTCCGCTCCTTCGTATTGCGCCGAGAGAGACGTAAAACGGTTAAGTTCTCACTAAGTTGGGCCTGCAGTCGTTAAAGAAGTCGTTGGTGCCTTCGACCTACTATGTCTTCGCCGGTTGCCTCGTTGCTTCATGAAGTTCCGAGATCCGCTGATCCGGAAAAGGACGCCAAGTACCTGCGCGTTCTTGGCCGAATGGGCGGTCGTTTACAGTCGCTCTGCGATCGGCAAGAACGGCATCATTACAAGCGAGTTCAGCTTGCTTGGATCACGTCGGGATTGTTCTCGATGTTGCGTTCCTTCTCGCCGGTGCGTTCGTCGACATTACCACCTGCGACCTGGTGATATCCCGCGGTACTCGTCTTAGCCGTTATGGAGACCGATCCGAATCGCGAAGATGGTGCTGATCGTAACGAATCAAGAGCGCGTCTTCGACGTTGTTTCTTTTGGTCCGGCCCGTAAATAGCGCTCGACGTCATCACCTCCGTCCGTGTTTCTCTTTTCTCGAAGAGAACGAGAGAAAGAGAGAGAGGGAGGAAGAGAGAGGGAGCAAAGTTCTCCGTACGTGCTGAGAGCTGCGGGAGATCGCGACGCGAATGCTTCGCTCCGATTCGCGACGTTTTTGGACGCGAGCCACCTTACACCAGGGTGCCTTTCATAGATTTACAATTTGGACATAAGCCCCGAGCTAATCAGAGAAAACTTCGTCAAAGTAGGTCGAGTGCTTCGCGATACTCACACTCGGGAGAACAGCGGAAAGTGATCGCCTCCTGGCAGTTTGTATTTAGCGACGACTCGAACGAGCTTCTGCTTTCCGTCGTTTGACGCGCGTATATTTCGTCGTCGGGTAGCAGCGCGCGCACGCTGATTCTCGTAATCTCGTGTGTAGCAATGGCGAGAGTGAATAGGAATGAAGGATCAGTCGGATTTAGAGTTTAAGCCTCGCGCGCCTCGGGACAAGTGCAGCCTCGGTGCGTAAGAGAGTCACTGCTTCTCGCAACAATCGTGCGAGTTGGCGGACGGATGAATTGTGGCGTGCGAGTTTTCAGACACGCCCGAACGATGTGCGGTGATGATGCGGCGACGATGATGGTGCAACGCGCGATGGACGAAAGAATTTGAGATATCGATAAACCATTTCCGACTTTCGCGTTGCAAAAATGTGAAAAAATAGCGCGTGTACGCGTATACTATGACTAACTGATCGGAAAAGCGAGTAAAACGATTCGCATGTCGGGGAGACACGGCAACGCAGCTAGTTTTGTTGCCAACAACTTCGAAAACATCGAGCGAGCGGTATAAATGTGGCAAAACCTGCAGAGATGCATAATACGCGAACGAAGCAAACGAAGAAGACGCGAAACTGTGCGGGATGACACGAAAGATGACGCAAATATCGCAAAGCGAGAAACACGTCGGAGATTTGTTCGTTCATCAATTAAAATTATAATAATGCGGATACAGTATCCGCCATATATATAAATGAATGTTCCAAAAGATTTAACGCACCAATGTAATATATTATTAGGCGGGCCTTGGAACGAAAAAAATATGGATATACTGATAAAATCGATTGATCGCGGGGGGGGGGATGGGGGGGGGTGGGCCTATATTCTTTTGAAAGTCCGTAAACTCGGAAGGATTGTTTGGTGTGTAAACGAAGAGATATAAAAGAGACCCGTGAAATATTGTTTTCAATGTTACCGCATAACGCGGCACTCTTATCCTTGAGAGAGCCCGAAGGGCGGAGCCCGCCGGACACCTCGCGATCTGCTGAAGGCGGCGACGAGCGAGAGAGCGCAAGAGAGCGCTGGTTAATTAAAAATCTCGTCGGGTCTTCATTTGCATCCATTTACCATTATTACAAAATTTGTATAAATTTGCTAAAGACATCTGCATGGCTAACAGCACGCGCCGCGGCGCGCCGCGCCGAGACGCGACGAGCTATTTGTTTGTCGCGTCGTGTTTTCTTCTCTCGTCGCGAATGTATTTTCGGCAGACGTTTCAGAACGTTAATAATCACCGTTGTGAGTTTCCCGTTCGAGGAGCTTTCGCGGACTCGCGTGTGTGCGTCCGCTGAATTTCCGCCCGCTCAGCTGGAAATCCGCGCGCTACGCGTTCGACGTTGCATCTCTCGGGAAGCAACATGCCATTTTTGCGTTGTAAAAGTCGGTTGTTTCCGATGAGACAAATTCTCTCGACTGAATATTTACCTTTCCGTTGCCGGACCGCCGTTTTTCCACACGATTGCGTCGTGCCGCGGCGAGGCGGAAGGATACGTGAGAATTCTTCGAGGAGAAAGAGGAACAAGTCGAGATAGAACAAATCGTGGCGAACGTGCGCCGGAATGCAGACATATCCGAGATACTCACTCCGCCTCTCTCTCTCTCTCTCTCTCTCTCTTGCCGTTTTCGCTCACAGATACTTTACTTCCGTGACGCGCAGCTACCTCCGGTGCGTTCTGAAGTTGCATTCGCTTTTATTGGAAAAATACCAGAGTGTTGAGTACATCGATGACATGATTTATCTTTCCTTTGAAAGATCGCGGTTCACTCGCGGTGCCGAGATTTTTACACTTAAAGGACTCTGAGCCGCTGTTATCCTTTCTCCCTCTCTCCCTATCTCCGTCTCCTTTCCATGCTCTTTAACACAGGCATTTCTTGTGTTTCTCCTAAAAGACTACGGCGTACTCGCGTCGCCGTTTCCGATCGTGCTTTGATTCGACCGAGGGAAGAGAGAAATACAATCCCGTGCGAAAGAATAATTCCCTAGGAATCTTCTCTCATTCTCATCCGCTACCGGGATATTTTCGAAATGAGCGTGTTTGCTTCCGTGAGTGCACCATATTTTCGAATGCTTCTATAAACTCCATTCACTCTGCGAGCAGTTTCGAACGTAAAACGTTTGTTATCTTTCACAACTTTATCTATCGCTCTGTATGTGCCGCTTATTTCCTCTCATACTTTATTACTATTGTTAAACATCATCGGGACGAGATGTACGGGGGTAGAAAGTTCGCGTGCATTTATATTTGCGCACAGACGTTTATTATTGACTGAACGAACGAATCTGTGCGATTTTCGGGTGGACGAAGAGAAAGAAATGTGGAGGACCTTTTTCTCGATCAGGCTTACGCGATCATCGCACACGAATCTATATTTCTGGTATTTACATCAAATAATTGCAAAAGGAATAAAATGTCTCCACATAGAAGCGAGCTCATGTTACAGAGAGAGAGAGAGAGAGAGAGAGAGAGAGAGAGAGAGAGGCTCTTAGTAAAATTAATCGTCGTCGGTAAACAACGACAGTTTGATCCTTTTTCTGATATAAATTTTTCAAGGTTTTCGATAAATGTGAAATAATCCTCATCTGTTATCGGCGATCAAGTTATTTGTCCCGTGTAAGATTTTAAAACCGTTCTTGCATTATGCGTTTATTGCCGAACATTATGCCGCACATTATGTTCACGGTTAGGGCTCGTGCGACAAACATACGCAGCATTTCCAAAATTGTGGCTCCTCGCAAATTTTTCATTATTCCCGCGCTTGCTTCTCGATGTCATTGACAGAATATTATAATCCGCTAACGCGAGAGTGCGGCTGCATGAGTAATGATGACATGAAAAAACCGATGCGAATCTCGCGTATTATCTACTATATTACCAGATGATTAAACGACCTCGTGAATTTTCCACGAAATTTGCCGAAAACTTTGAAAAATTCGTAAACCGGACCAAGTCATTTACATTGCGATTAATTTTTAATAAATTTTCCTTTTTTTCTCCCCTTTTCTTTCTTATCTCTCTCTCTCTCTCTCTCTCTCTCTCTTTCTCGCGATATCTCGGCATTTTCAAAGCAAAATACTGTAATAGTAATAACATTCGCTCTTTCGGTCTTTCTACAGCGGTTGTAATTCATTCCGTATAAAAGCAGCGCTGAAAGAAAAGCCCTTTAAGAGTCTCCACCGTTGATACTTTTTCCGACGCTGCAAATTTTAATCTGTTAATTGCGCTTCTTTCTTAATTGACTGCCTACTCTGTGTCAGTCAACTTTCCTGTTATTAGTGCCGTTTCCAAGGAAAACACGCTGGAGCGGCACAACGAGACATTAATAATTTCTCTCGTTCGTCCATATTGAAATTTATAGTCGCTTCTGAGAATCGACATAAGCATAAAAGCCCGCTCGCGGCCATAGAAGCGGGGAAGGGAACGTCTTTATTGATCGCGAATCGACTCCCGCGCCTCCACCCCCCCCCCATTCACAATTATAACATCTGTTGCGAGTTAAGCGCCGATGTCTCGACAAACCTCACGCGTAGTTCCGCTAGACATTATTTCTGATTGCCTTATCAAATGAGGCATCCTCCCTTTATTCCGTCCCGCAGTGGCAGCGTCAGCAGGCGGAACGACCGAAACATCGCTCTCTCAAACCCGCTCGTGGATCAAATTTCGACCAATTACTTCCGCCAACGTCGCTTTTATCGTTTACGATCGACGCTAATGAACGCAAACTTTGAGGTGGTTATTATTCAACACTGATTCGATCTTCGCTA